GTCAGCTCCACGGCGCCCAGGGCAGGTGCCTCCGCTCGGGCTGGACCTGGTCCAACCCTGGCTGCACCGCGTCCTGGTGGTGACCTCAAACAGCGCACAGTTAGACGTCATGCTTCCCTGCGTGCTTGGGCAGGAGGCAGGGGGCAGGGGCTTGGGCAGGAGGGAAGGTGGAACAAGCGGGGGCCTGTGGTTGCCAGGCTGCACGCGGGCACACGGGGGGGCACTGCCACTGCCTCCTGGGAAGGGCTGCTCCGGGTGCTCAGGGTGACTTCACAGGCGATGGGCAGGCGCTGTGGCACCCCGGCCCGGTGTGGCTTCCTGAGCTGCAAAGGGGCCAAACCCAGCAGCGGTCTGCCCTCCTGTCTGAGGAGGGCACACTCTCATTCCAGGCCCTTGGTCCTGCTAGTCATGGGGTGCCTGGGCTGAGCGGGATGCTCTCCTGGTTGCATCTCCTGCTGGCGCAGAGGTGTCAGACAGGCTTGAGGATGGAGGTGCTGCAGGCATGGGCTGGCCTCCGCGGGGCTGTAGCCATGAGTGCCCACAGGACAGCGTGTGCGCCAGAGCCGTGGGAGGCAGAGGGGCCCGCGTGAGGGGTGTGCGGGGAGGCACGAAGTCCACCTGTAACCTCGGGCGTGCCCTCCCACCAGCCACCCCTCCCAGCTCTCTTCCTGCACCTTGCAGAGGTTGTGAGTGGGGTGTGGACCGTGGACGCAGGGTTGCTGGCGGGGCTGGGGGGACAGTGCAGCATCCATGTGCTTCTCCCTGGTTCTCCAGGGCATGTGTGGTCAGTGAGGCATGTGGGCAGGCTCGAAGGTTCAGCACCGTGGACAGCACACCCCACCCCCGCCCGCCAGGCGCACCTCACTCGGGCCAGGCTCTTTGGGGGTGCGTCCTCTGGGGAGCGAGGGCCCCCTCTCTGCCCAGGGAGAGGCTGGGGACAAGGGGCAGGACGGATGGACAGCTCCCGCAGCCCCAGCCCCACATAGGGCTCGAGGTCTGTCCTCTGCTTTCCTCAAATGTGCCTCCTGGTCTGGGGAGCACGAAGCCACTCTCCCTTGGAGACCCAGGTGGTTGCGGTGGCCAGAGGGGGGACTTAGCCGAGCGTGCTGTCCCTGCAGTGGACCACGTGTTCCCCGAGGCGGGGGTGAGCCTGCTGGCGGCCTACGAGCAGTGGCGGGAGCGAGCGGACGGTGGGGCCTGCTGCGACTACTCCCTGCATGTGGACATCCCCCGCTGGCACGAGAGCACCAGGGAGGAGCTGGAGGCCCTGGTCAGGGACAAGGGTGAGCAGCGGGCCGGCCGGGCGGGGGCGCGGCCGCGGGGCCTGGCCTCTGGGTTCAGGCGGACGCTGCATCCGTCCGACTCCAGGGCAGGCGGCCAGGCGTGCCGTACGTTGGACAGAGCCATTTGAAGATCTGCTGGGCTGAGAGGTCAGCTGTGCCCGCACCTGGGGGTCGCATCCCGGGGCCGTTCTCTTCACAAGAGGACACGGAGACACAGCTGTCACCATGGCCCCCGTGTGTCTTGGGCCTGGGGGAAGGAAAAGCATGATCAGCCTTCTTAGCCCTGAAGATCCTCTAGAAGGAGACGCCTTAAAACTCAGCCCTCCACTGTTGCCTCAGCACAAACAGGGCGGTTTATAAACAGGCTTAAACGTTTTTTTAAATCAAAAGTCCTGAAGCTAAAACCACATCAAAGTTTATAGTGGATTTGAAGGAAAGTTAGGTGGATGCTGTAACTGACCTCTGGTGATCAGCGTTGAGTGTGGTCTCAGCTCACAGCCAGGAGTGGAAGGTCAGGGTCAGAGGGGCCGGCAGGGATGGGACCTGGGATGGGCGTGCTGGCGTCAGAGTCCGGGCCAGGCCAGGAGGCTACTGCTCTCTCAGCCCGGGAGACGGAGGCAGGGAGGTTTCCTCCAGGCCATTTTCCCCAGAGTGATGGACCTCAGGCCCTTGACCTTTGGCACTCAGGAGCCCTCACCCAGGGGCAGGCGGGGGCCTCAGCCAGGCAGCAGCTGTGCCTCCTGGGTCCTTCCCTCCCTGGCCTGGGGGTCTGCAGCCTGGCAGCTCAGAGCAGAGGTCCAAACGGGCACCTGCAGCCATCACCCCACCCCCGAGCTGCTGGGGCAGGGGGCAGTGATGGGGGCTGTTAGTGAGGGGGGGGTTGG